CTGAAGGCTCCTTAGGTAAGCTTTCTACACTGTAGGCACAACAGTGTGTCTGCTGCATAATAGGCTTGTTTCCAAGATCTAAATGAGCTTTATGAGCAGGCAGAGAAAAGAAAAGAGAAACTCAGTAAACAGAGAGCGTGCGGGAATTAAAGTCAGCCTGCAGTTTGTCTTCATTACAGCGTTTCACACTGGCATGATCAATGAAGAAGAGGCAACCACAGACACAGTCTCCTCAAGCTGATTCTTCCTGTTGTTTAAAAGCAAAAAGTTGACCTGTTTTTTTCTGACATTTTGATGTAATTTGAACTGACAGACCTAATCTCTTTCCAAAATAAAAGTCTCTGCAGCATCACTGGAAACTTGCACCTGCTCAGCTGAGTCTGTTTGAGCTCTGACTGGTGAATTTCAATGAGCAGCTGCTGGAGTTTATGATTTTCCTCTTTCTGCAGCACCACTGATTATCTGAAACATCTGCATAAGATGAGGAGGAGAGTCAGAAGCAGCTGCCGAACAAAAAGCGCTGAGGTTCTACTTCAGACTACCAGAGAGCAGAAGGCAGTTTATAGCTTGTGTTGCACATCAGAGACTGAGAGGAGTTTTAAATGTGTCATTGTTGTGTGTCAACTGTCTGGCTCACAAGCGTCACATTTTTCCTGTCACAGCCTGGTAATAAAATGATGTTATGTATATGTGAGAAGCTTGTTACTATTTAAAGAGAATCTATTTTTACCAAAATTACACATATGAAGATAAATTGTATTTATGATACACACTGTCTGTCAAGCATGGTTTTAGATCATTGTGTTTCATTGGACTTCAATCTTCATCATGAAAAATGTCTCTAACAATTTTAATCCCTAACATCACAACCCCCCAAATAAATCTCTCTGAAGATTCTCTTGGGCCCCTGGGTTATAACGAGATACAAACTGATCACAAAAACACATAAAAAGAGATGTAAAAAGGACCGCAAAACTGCCACAAAGACTCAAAATGATCACAAGACGATGTAAAACAGCACAAACTGAACAAAAACATCCAAAGAAAGTACAAATGACCACCATGAGATGTGAAACTACTGCAAAGCACTCCACAAAAAGACACACCACTGTTACAAAGTTACAAAAACGAATGAAACACCCAAAAAGGCAGCCAAAGACTGAGAATGTCTGCAGAGAAAACAATAAGACACTCCTGTATATGGAGCCGGGTGCTGTTACATGTCTGGGCCCAGAGTTTCTTTACCCAGTTACACAGTCTTCGTTACTTTAATTTCTCTGTAAATTAATACAACTCTGAAAAGAAGGACACATGCAGGAAAACGGTGACCGGAAGATGTACTGTGATCACAGTGATGGATAATCTGACTATTGTAACTGAGAGGCCAGCGGTGGGGAATGTATCTGTAGCTTTGTTAAGCTTTTAGCTAGCTCGTCGAGGCTGGCTACATTAGCTACTAGCCAAGTCTAACTGCTGCGGCTGCTGCTGGTTCTTCTTCTATTGTTTTGGCGGTTGGCATCCAATGTTCAGGTGCATTGCCACCACCTACTGTACACACAAAAACATTACAGACTCTGTAGAACGGATCTCTTCCGGGTCTACCACAAGGCTGCGCACCAACGCTAACAGGGTTACCTTAGCAATGAGCGCAAATTTCTCCCAAACACTGCCGGTGTAATTAAAACACGAAAAAATACCACAAAAAGATGTACTCTTTTGCACTTATACCATACTACACGTATTATACTTTAACAGTAGCACATTCGTCAATACTTCAATCCGTTTAGTTTAATTTATAAAAAAACACAACCCTAGTTGTAAACCCCAAGAAGAACTACATATTTCATGACGTGTCCAATCATGTTGTGTTGCAACGCTACTGGAAGTTGTAGTTCTTTCTTCAAAATAGCTGTTTCTCCTAAACAAAGGGTGAAATATAAAACTTTAAGTGCATTTAGGGGTTTAAATTGACTGCATGCATGTTATACAGATGGAGCATTGATCTGCTCCTGCTAACACAGTACTAGTTCTGCACGACTTATACTTTGTACAGTGGCCTTGTTAGGACATTTCAGGGTCCGTTCATTTTCACACTTCACTCAGCTTTTACAAGACATAACCTCTGCCAGTCAACTCTGTTCAGATTTTTATAAAGTTACCATGCTAGCAATCAAGTATCTTAGCATGCTACCATTAGCTTGTCAGTATGCCAGCTTACCTTTAATTTCAAATTCCAGCCAGTGAGATTTCTGTGACTAATTTTACAGACAACACATAGCTGAGTGATATCACTGACATATTCACCACAATTAAATATCAAATCTCAGTTGATATTGCTAATTGTTATTGTTTTTTTTATATTTTATTTAAAAAATAAGAGTAAAGGTTTATTTATATTATTCACCTTAGTTTGAATCAACAAACTTATATTTATTAACCTATTTATGAAGGCACACAGGTAATAAATGTAACACTAACAATACAATGAAAAATATGTTTGAATAGATTAATTACAACACAATTTTAAAATCCTAAGAATTAAAAAATAACAATACAGAACAGAATAAAGAGCAAAGCAAAACCAGGAGAGAGACCAATTTGAAACTGCTGTACTGCACTGAGGTTAAGGTTAGAAAGGCTGATTTGAACCAGGTGTCACCACTCAGGGACCCGGCATGAACCTCTGCAAACACTCCAACATTAAGTCGGTTAGCTGCTTAGGTGGAGGTGTCTGCAAGGGCAACCACTGGACCCTGCTAGCCGCAGCCTCAACCAGGGGAGGTAAGTGGGTGGATGGGGTGACCAGAGGCCCAGGCTTAAGAGACAACAGCAGCCACATGAAGACCGATAGAGGGTGAAGGGACTCCATTGTCAAGGTATAACAGGCTGTTATGACCCAGAAAGGGAGCAGGTTTTGGGATGGTTTATGCAACCAAATTCTCTGTTTTTGTTGTGTGTCTTCATCACACGGTACATATCACTGTTGTTTTATCAGCCAAGTCTAAGACAACCTGTCATGAAATGTAGTAATGACAAGCTAGAATCTGCTAGTGGCAGTAAAACATCTATTTGTCTTCTGGGGACAATGAAATGAAAATGTTTTGATCCAAATCACAGCGTTGGACCATCAACATCCAGTTAACAGAAGACCTCATACAATTGTTTTCATATTTAGAGACAGCATTCCTATTACAGCAGGTTGGAATAACACTGTAATCTTTGACTGTAGGCATTTATATGCAAAACTGACTGTGACACAAAAAAATTAAATGAGTTCACCTTTAATCTTGATAATCTAACAAGCAGCGGCATGAGGCCACCTACTTGTTTTGGAAAATAACCGAAAGGTCAAACAGGAAAACAAACAGCAAAAAATAATGATCAGTCGATGTGTCACTCAGTCCAAGCGTGTGTTTAAATTGCTGTTTGTACTCTAAACCGTCCTCTTCATTTTACATTTTCAATTTTTAAGCTTATTAATGCAACTGCTCTCCTGCAGGGCATTTCACTGAGGGATAAATTCAACATTGCAGAAACCTCTGATAACGAGCTGTGCATAAACCAGCCCTGACACCCGAAAACTTCCTCACAGGATAATTAGTGCTTCTGAGGAAGGAAACAGACACTGTTTGATTTAATTTTAGTCCGGTCCTTTTAAAGCTAACAGCTGTGTGGATCTTCCACTTGGATCACTGAGCAGTTTTACATTGATTTTGTTAATGCAGGTCAAAGCTTAATTGAGGTTCTGATACTCCAATGGACTCTTCTGAGCTTTAGCTGGTATGCGGCAGATAGTCATCTACAGAAGTTTGCTATATTAAAGCAAAACTAAGAAAAGATAAACAAAAGTTCATCATTACTCTAAGAGAAGAATGCTTAGAACTATCTTAAGTTCATCAAGCACTGTGATGAAAGTGGTTCTCATGAGGACCACTGCAGGAGTTCCTTCTGCTGCAGAGGATCCGTTCATCAGTTAGCAGCCTCACATTCAACAACAAACAGCAGCTCAGGTTAGAGCTCACATCAGTGCTTCTCAGAGACACATCTGATGTCAGTTGTTGAGCTGTGTTGCATTTTTTCTATGTTATTCAGCACCGTGGTTGGATATTTCCACCTTGAACCTGCAGTGTACCGATGACAGTCTTAAAAACACAGATTCAGACTACCAAGGTTTCATGCTGAGGATAAATTTAGATTCATGATCAGAGAGGGACGAGAAAAGGACATTCTCAATGGAACATTTGAAAAATGGTTTATGAATATTGCCTTTAAGAAAAACATTCTGGGAACTAAAATATAATTTCCTTCTGAACACATTGCTGGAATTTTGCAGAACTTTCACAGAAGATTTATAGGACGAAACATTCTAGCTGGGTGGGAACTTTACAGACTGATATGATAGAATTATATAGAGATTAGCAGTCTGACTCACCAGATGTAGACTGTGGGTACAGACCTGCATTCTCCTCCCCTTCCATTATCTGTGTGTGTGTGTCTGAGTGTGTGTGTGTGGAATAAACATGTGATCATGTGTTAGGTGTTTAAAAAAAAACAGAATCAATTTATTTGATCATGTGCTCTCCATTTTGTGTCACAGTTTGCAAATTTGACAACAAATCTGAGAAGTCATTTCTAAGATGTCTAATGTTTGCAAAGCAGCAACTGTTTTAAAAGACGTTTGGGTGTGTAGCACAGTGTGTGAGAGGTACATAGTGTTTCCGTCCTCCATCATCTGTGTCTCATGGTTCTGTATACTTCCAACAGAAAAACAGCGGAGACTCCCTGGAGCTCAGCAGCTTCCTACACCTCGTCTCGTTTGTTTCTCAGTGTGCGCTGATAAATCTTTCTTTATCCCCGATAAGAGTTTAAAATTCCTCCCAATAAAAATGTTTTTTTGTCATTTACATTCCCTGTGACCTGTTGAGGCATCCTGGACACTTGGTTTGACCTTAGACTCACACACACCACCCCGGGGACCGTGAGCAGACTACGGACCGTACCTTCTCTCAGGATCTGGCTGTGGATGAGCAGGAGCAGCAGAAAGCAGACCGCAGCAGCAGTCAGAGCCCAGGCCAGCCGGAGGAGCTGCATGAGGGAGAGACTCGAGCCGCGTGGTGAGCGAAAAAAGTCCAAACTGTGATTATCCGCAGGCCGGTGCCTCCTCACGACGCCACATCCATCCCTATCCGACCCAGAGGAGGACGGAGGCGGGGGACAGGTGTCATCTCCGGGTTATGTAACCACACACCCGTCTGAAGCGACAAATCCAGAGCGGAGGAGATTCTCGGCAGCAAAGATTTTTTTTTTTCGTCTTCCTCCTCAGACTCGGAACCTCTTGGGGTCCTCACAGCTCTCCGCGGCGTGTCACGGTGCGCAGCGACGGCCGGCAGCAGCTGCAGGTGCGGGTGATTCCCTCCGCCGCAGCACGTTCGTCAAAAACGCTGAAACTGCTCCAAACTACAAGTTTTCCAGCTTTGCGCCTCCAACTTACAGCTCACTGTGCTTCGGATCCATCAGGAGTCTCGGTCCGCTCGTCCGCGTAAATCCCGGCAGATGTGGGAAAACTGACACCGAGCCCGGCTGGAGCTGCTGCAGTGGGCATATTGCACGTTTCACTACCCGGTCTGCCGTCCTGGTCAGTTCCCGGTTACCCGGTGGTGAAGAGCAAGAGGAGGAGATGCTGCGTGCGGGTCTCAAGATCCGCTGCGATCTGCAGCCTCCTCTCTCTCTCTCTCTCTCTCTCTCTCTCTCTCTCTCTCTCTCTCTCTCTCTCTCTCTCTCTCTCTCTGTGTGTATCCGTGTCTCTCCGATCACGGACTGACGTCACACCGGTATAAAACCGTCCACAGGCTCGGAGACACCGGGCGCTGGGACTTGAACCACGGCGGTGCAGCAGAGGAGGCGAAAAGGATCTGACTGCTTCTGAGAGGAAGCTGTGTGTTAATGATGACTTCGTGTCGAAGTGATCACTGACCTTGATTGTCTGCTGTTTTTAAACCCTTTTTGGTTGTAACACTTTACACAAAACTTTTTTTTATTAAGAATATATCAAAATATAAAAGTTTATTTAGGTTTCACGAAGTTTTTTGTTTGTTTTAATTGAGTTTTCTAGTTTTTACGGGTGTTTTACAGTGACATTGCTACCATTTTGCTATTTTCTACTAAACACTATCATACATTTATGGTATTTTTATTTTGATCATTAAATGTTTTTTTTTTTTTTAAATCTGTCATTTGTATGTAGTCACTAGATGATAATTTGATAATGGTTTTAAACACCTTTTCATTGAATGAAGATACGACCTTGTACAGAGAAACATTTATTGGAAAATTACAACAACGTCACAGAACACCATATTTTACAAACAGTTAATGACACCAGGTATTTACATATATTTTTGAGTAAACTCTGCTACTATTTCTGTACTACAGGGATTTTATCTCTTAAATTATATTTACATGGATACTCTCATACAGCACCAGTCAAAAGTTTGAACACAGCTTCTCATCCAGTGGTTTTTATTTATTTTTTTTTTTTTTTACTATTTTCTGTATTGTACATTAATACTGAAGGCATCAGAACTATGAAAGAACACATATGGAACTATGTAAAAAAAAAAAAAAAAAAAAAGTGTTTAAACAAAACAGAATATTACATTAATTGCTCTAGTATGTAAGACTATAATATACTTTCCCGTAAAAAAAAAAAAAAAAAAAGTGTTTAAACAAACCAGAATATGTTTTATATTTTAGATTCTTTTAAGTAACCCGCTTTTACAACATATGCCATCTCACAGCGCTTAACATAATAAGGCATAGACCTTACAAATTTAAACAGAGAACCCAACAATCCAAAGTTGCCTTTGGACTCCCTCCGAGCGAGCGGTTGGCAATGGTGGGAAGGAACCAAAACAAAAAAAAACCTCAGACAGAACCAGGCTCAGGAAAGGTGGCCATCTGCCTCGACCGGTTAGGTGAGAGTAGGGATCAGGAGGTGGGGATAGGATAGCAGATGGAGAGCAAGCCATAGAACAGAACAATAAGTATGAATATAAATATTTTGGGGGTCGGTGAGGCCAGCGGCTGCAGATCAGACGTGACGCTCTGGATCCAGAGATGTCTGCAGAGAGAACAAGCACAGGACCTTGGGGGAAACTTGTTGACTGCTTTTCCTTCACAATGCAATCCAACTCATCCCAAACCATCTCAGTTGGGTTTAGGTTGGGTGATTGTCGAGGCCAGGTCATCTGACGCAGCGCTCCATCCCTTTCCTTCTTGGTCAAATAGCCCTTACATTGCCTGGAGGTGTGTTTGGGCTCACTGTCTTGTTGAAAAACAAATGATGGTCCCAGTAAGTGCGAACCAGATGGAATGTCATGGCGCTGCAGAATGCTGTGGTAGCAATGCTGTTTAAGTGTGCCTTGAATTTTGAATAACTCATCAACAATATCACCAGCAAAGCACCACCACACCTCCTCATCAGGGGCGGATCCAGGATATTTTCGGTGGAGGGGCACAGGGGGGGGTACAACAGATATTTTTGGGG